TCTGTCTTTATACTTATGTTGAGGTTGCTGATCTGTAATATTATATTAGAACTAGTGTCCCTCACTTAAGTAAGGGCACATGTGTCTTTTCCATTATGTTAGTAATATAAAACATGTCTGGCCGAATGGGAGGGGTAATTTTTCTCTCATTCGAACCAGACTTTTCTTCTCTCTTTTTTTCCTCTTTTCTCTCTCTTTCTTTCTTCTTCTTTCTTCTTCTCTCTTCTTGGTTGTTATCAGACTAACAAAACTCAAGGGCAGGCCGAATCATAATATTTTCCAATAAGTTGTAGATCTTAGTGGGGATCTTAAACACTGACAAATAATAAACAGGTAAGTTAGCTAGGGAGGACCTAATCAGAGTGCCTCTCCCACCCAAGGAAAGATAATTTCTCTTCCAGGACGCAAGCCTCTTCTCAAATCTCTCCACTACCGAAGTCCAAAAGCTTTCGTTCTTAGGATTATCTCTTAAAGGGAGGCCCAAGTACATATACGTCAAAGGCCAATCTGAGATTGCACAACCTAACACACCTGCAAAATTCCTTAATTCCCTCTCCTCCACATTCACCCCCCACCACACAACTGTTATCAAAGTTCACCTTAAGGTTAGACATCTGCTCAAAGAGTTGTATTGCTAATTTTAAATTTCAGATCCAACTTATATTCCCACCCTCACAAAACAAAATTGTGTCATCTGCAAACTAGAGATGTGCGGTGGTACCTCCTCCCTTCCAACTCTCCACCCTTTTATCAGATTCCTCGAGTCTGCTCTATGGATCAATCTCCCAAGTACATCAGCAATCAGGGTAAAAAGAAAGGGGGAGAGTGGGTCTCCTTGTCTTATACCTCTCAAAGCAGGAAAAAAGTCAACCACCGTTCCATTCACCAAGATAGAATAGTCACAAATCCTAATACAGCCCCAAATCCATTTACACTACCTTTCTCCAAAGCCATAGCTTCTCAACACCTCCACTAAAAAAGACCAATCCACTAGGTCATAAGCCTTCTCCAAATCCAATTTGCATACCACTCCCTTCTTCTTAGATTTCCTGAAGCTCTCCAAACTCTCATTTGCAATGAGGATTTGATCAGTGATCTGTCTTCCCTCTACAAAGGCTCCTTGGTTGGGTGCAATAATAGAGGGGAAGACCTTCTTTATCCTGAGAGACAACACTTTTGCAATTATTTTATATAAGCTATTCACCAAACTAATATGTCTGAAATCCTTAGGTTGTGATGCCTCTTTCTTCTTTGGGACCAAAGCAATGAAAGTTGAGTTCATGGCCGGATTAATTATTCCTCTATTGTGAAACTCCTCAAAGACTGACCTAAGATCCTTCTCCACGATATCCTAGCAATCCTGATAAAAAGCCATTATAAAGCCATCTGGGCCTGGAGCTTTTGTCCTATCCATTGAGAATACTGCTTCCTTTATCTCTTCCATATCAAACCTCTTTTCCAACCACTCTCTGTTCTCTGCACTTAGAGTCGGCCAATCCAAACCCTCCAACCACACCCTCTCACTCAAAGGCCTCCTGAATATAGATTTGAAATGAATTACTAAGGCCTCTACTATTTCTGTCGGGTTTGACAAGACTGCTCCTACTTCCAATTTTGATATGAGATTCTTTTTTCTCCTCCCATTTGCCATTGAATGGAAAAATATAGTGTTTCTATCTCCCTCCTTTAGCCACTTACACCTGGATTTTTGCCTCCAACTTATTTCCTCCTTAATCAGAATATCCTTCATCTGCCTCCTCAAGTCCCATCTCATTTTCCTATCTTCCTCTCCAAAGGATCCCCTCTCTTCCTTCATATCCAAATCCTCAATCTGCTCCAGCAAGACTTGTTTCCTTTCCTCTATTCTTCCAAACTCCAACCTATTCCACTCCTTTAATTGTGATTTTAGAAATTGAAGTTTCTTGTGGAACCTCATTCCCTCCCATTCTACTACTGGATTAAATTGCTCCCACCACTCCCTGATCTTCTCACTGAACCCCGGATGGGTCAACCACATATTTTCAAACCTGAATGGAGTGGGTCCATCACCTCTCAATTCCTCCGTACACATCACTATAGGCCAATGGTCTGAAGTAATTCTTGGAAGTGCCCTAGATAATAGGTTACCCCAATGTTCCTTCTAGTTTGTTGAGAACAAGAACCTGTCCAGCTTGGAGCATACTGGCCTCGATTGAAGGGTGCACCAAGTGAAGCTATTATTTAGGAGTAGAAGTTCTTTAAGCTCCAAGGTATCCACAAAATGGTTGAACTTTCTCATACTTGTTGTCACTCTCTGCCTAGGGTTGTTGGTTTCCTCTATAAACCGCACTACATTAAAATCCCCTCCCACACACCAAGGTCCCTCCCAGAGGCCCCTAACATCACTCAGGTCCTCCCACAATTTCTTCCTCTGCCTATAGTCATTGGGGCCATAAACATTTGTTAGTACCCATTCGTACCCATCTTCCACTTGTTTGAACTTCAAGGAGACAGAGAAATCATATTAGCAACTCCAAGCCGATTAGTATATCTTCTTTCCACAGTGTTATAATCCCACTTGAGGATCCCCATGATGGAGCGGCCACCCACTTTATTCCCCTATCTTTCCACACACTCCTTTCCCATCTGCAATCAATATCCATTCTTTTAGACTCCTGGATCATTACCACATCCGGGTTAAACTTCTCAATCACCTCTTTAATTGTTGCTCTCTTCCTTACACTGCCCAAGCCCCTCACATTCCAACTTAGAATTCTCATTTTAACTTCTCAAGCTCAATCCCAACTCCTCCAGCCTCTACTTAACCCCTTTCCTTCTATACCCTCTCACCTCAAACTTCTTGTCCCCCTCAATATCTCTTTTCAACCTCTTCACTCAACTTTCTTTTTTTTTTATCTTACTATCCTCTTATTTTTTGCAAAAAAACTTTTAGGTCATTTGGATTCTTCAGTTTGCATCCCAGCTTTTGCACAAATTCTACAACTAACTCTTCCTTGCTAGTTTCCTCCTTATCTAATGTTCCTCTCTTCTCACTCCTAGGAATCTTCTCAATCCTTTCCTTATTTCCTCCATCATTTGTCCTTTCTACCCCTTCTGTAATCCCCCTTTGCATTTCCTTCCTCTCCACTTCACCCATTAGACCCTCAATGATTTCCCAATTCTTTGTCTCCCTACAAGTTTTCTCCACCACTTCCTCCCCTTCCTTATCCCCTTGTACCCTCACTGTGGCTTTTTGACCATGGGCCTCGGACACTTGGTTGAGAAAGGAATCTGGAACAAGGGACACAGTAGCAAAAACTGAATTGATAGAGTTAACAGAATTACCTGAGGTCAACTGAGGGTGGAGAGGGGTATTCAAACGAGGAAGATTGGTTGTCACTCCCTGTTCAGAAAATTTGGAGCTCTCTGTCTCCTCGGGTTAGAGGAAATTAATCCCCGTCACTTGGTCTGCACAAAGACCTCTTCAAGTAGTAGTTTCTCAACTCATTCATCTTAGCATTCACATTTCTCCCACATTCATTTTCTGGGCATGCTGCTTCTTGACTGCCCTATACTCTGCATACAACATAGTAAGCTCCAAATGCACCCTTCTATTTTGCCCAGCCTGCTCTAATTCCTTCGATGATATCCTCCTCAATCTCTCCCTTGTTATGAATTATTGAACCAAGGTACCGAAAATGGTGACATTGAGTTAACTCTTTGTCTACAATCCAAAGTGTATCTTGATTTACACTCCTATTATTTCTAAATTTACATGTCATATACTCTGTTTCTAAGGCATTTATCCATGAGCTTAATTTTGCATTTAAACCTTCATTAGTTTCATCAATTAAAACAATGCCATCTACAAACAACATGCATCATTGAACTTCCTCTTAAATATCTTTAGTCAATTCATCTATAATCAGTACAAATAGATAAGAGCTAAATGTGGAACCTTGGTTAAAAACCATAGTAACTATAAAATCTGAAGTCTCTCCAACTGGCGTTCTAACATTGGTTGTTTTCCCCTCATGCATATCCTTAATTAGGTCTATATACCAATTTTGAACCCCTTTTTTTTCCAAGACCCACCATATTATCTCTTTAGGAACTTTATCATATGCCTTTTCTAGATCAATGAACACCATGAGAAGCGCTTTCTTCTTCTCTATAAATTTTTCTACCAATTAACTCAAAATAAATATAGCTTCCATGGCTGATTTCCCTAGCATAAAGCCAAATTGATTCTCTAATACACTTGTTTCAAGTGATAATCTTTGTTCAATTATTCTCCCCCAAAGTTTCATAGTGTGGCTCATAAGTTTAATCCCCCAATATACAACTTTGTATATCACCTTTGTTCTTAAAATATAGGCATCATATTGTTGTTTCTCCAATCATCAGGCATCTTCGTTTCTTTCACTATCTTATTAAATAGCTCGGTTATAACAAGCCTATCTCTCCCATACCTTTCCATTACGTCCTACTACCTTTCCCTTGTACATTTTATTTAATGACTCTTCTACTTCAATAGGTCTAACTCTAGGAAGGTACAAATTATTTTTAACACAACTAGTATTGCTAGATTCTCCTCCATTTGCACCCTCTCCCTACTATTCATTTAATAATTTTTCAAAATAGTTTTCCCATCGTTGTTTGATTTCCCTATCTTTTACCAAGACTCTTTGATCTTCATCTTTGCATCTAACATGGTCTAAATCATTGCCTTTCCTTTCTCTCAGCTTTTTATACATTCCTTTTCCTCCCTCTTTAGTGCTTAGTTTATGGTAAAGCTCATCATAAGCCTTACTTTTAACATCATTCACTTTTGAATACAATATAAAATAATAATTTTGAATAAAGGGTAAAATAATGACTTCGCAAGGATGCTTTTTAGCCTCAATCATTAACATGGATAAATGCCAAGGTTGTGTGAAAAGAAACATTACTAGCAAGATTAACTTCTATTACCAACATAAGAACAACATCTCTTGAATATATGAGAGGACAGACAATACCAGCTTAACCGTGTTTTTCAGGTGCATCTCAGCTGCAATGAGTTCTCGACAACTTTTCGTAGATGATGAAATTTCAATGTAGACCTTACAAAGTTGCCAAGAGGCATGAGCAAATTTCTTAAACCGTTCTCTGTTACTCCATAAATCAGCTCCCTGTCAACAATATTTAATTAAATATGGATAACATAGAGGTTAGAAACATCAAAGTTGCCAAGAGGATCCTCAGTTAGAAGCATTTGAATGATAGAATATTTTTTATTCATATTTATTTAACAATTGATGAATTAAAATTTTTTTTCTTGATGCTAAAAGGATCTACAGTAAGCTGGTATGAAGAATTCCTTCAGTCTAGGGTTGGCTGCCAATATAAGTCGAATGTTCATATTCTAAATGATCCCAAGAAGCATGAAAGTGGATTGTGTCCACTCCAAATAATTGTTTCCATTTAGAGAAGATCTTTAGCAAGAGAACAATTTGAGTGGCTTGGACTAGATCATGCCAAATAAAAGGTGAGAAATAGTCATACTTAAGCTCAACCCAGGCCTAACCCTATGCATTGGGCCATAGGGTTGGCTGCCAATATAAGTCTAATGTCCATATTCTAAATGATCCCAAAAAGCATGAAAGTGGATTGTGCCCACTCCAAATAATTGTTCCCATTTAGAGAAGATATTTAGCAAGAGAACAATTTGAGTGGCTTGGACTAGATCATGCCAAATAAGAGGAGAGATGGCTTGGACTATGCATTGGGCCTTAGACTTGAGCATAGTTGTCAAGGCATCACCTAGGCGACTAGGCACCTCACCCAAACACCTCGACTTTTAGCAACTAGGCACCCTTCTAGTCTAGGCAACTAAGCACCCACCTAGGCAACAAAAATGACAAAGTGGGTGCCTTTTATAATATCATTTATATTGTTGTATCTTATTAATGTATGTGTTAAAAGATTTTATTATATGCTATAAATATATATAGATATCAACTATACTTTGTTTTAATGTTTTACTATTGAAATTTAAAAGATCAACAGGTTTTGAGGAGAGGAAAAGAAAGCAAGAAAGAATAGAATTATAAAGAGGTTCTTATTTTCTATTCTCTCTCTAATTAAATAAAACAGAAACTTCATCCTTGTTTTTTTCTATTTTACTTTCCATCTTGAATATTTATCATATAAAGTTAATAACCTTCTTTAACTGCTAATTGATATGAAATTGCTCTATTAAATACTTATTATAGAATTAATAACCTTCTTTTGAATATTTATCAAAAGTTAGGTTTTATATGATAAATTTTTTATCGCCTAGGCGACTAGGCACCCTAGTGTCGCCTAGAATCGCCTAGACGCCTTGAAAACTATGGGCTCGAGAACAAAGTCAAGCCTCACCTATCCAACCTAGGCCCAAACCACACTGAAATCTGGTGCACTTGGGTTGGAGTTGGACTTGGGTTTGTCAATAGCCCCACAACAAAACTTGACATAAATGTATGTGTATAATTGTACATGCATACGTTTATGCAAATATGTATCTATATAAGTATGTATGCATAAGTGCTAGCTGAAGAGATGTAGAGAAACATTTATTATTTAACTATCAGGCCATTGGTTGACCCATTTGACATGGACGGATGAAGATGAACTACTTAACCAAGACCCAAACAAAGGGGGTTTATTTTTCATGTTGGTTTTTGAATACAAGTTTTATATTATTAAAATTATTGGATATAGATTTAATTAGTAGAACTTATTAGAGAGAAACAAAAATACTTCAAAATAAGGTATCTAAGGAGAGAGAATGGGAGTTAACACCTTAATGAAGTGGAAAGTTATAATAACTTAAATTATATTTTCTACTCACACAGTAAGAAAGGGACTGAATTCATAAGTAGGGGGTTTTACTCAAGAAAAGTCCACAAAGCTCGTTTATTTAATGTACCTTAAATATAGGATTTAGTAAGAGAGAATGTGCATTAATACCTTAATATGAGACTTAATGAGAGAAAATAGAATGAATTTAATAAAAGCAGTAGTTTAAAATATTTTTTTTGACCTCATAATAAAGAGGGACTAAATTCAAAAATAGGGGTATTTTAGTCCAAAAAAGTCCAGAATCTAGACCTCATTCAAACTTTTAATAGAAGTATAGATAAACAAAACTTTTATTATATTAAAATTTTTAAAATTTATCTTCTCCACTTTCTTCCTCTTCCTCTTGTTGTCCCTATTCTTCTTCTTCTTCCTCCTCCCCCTCCTAAAGAGGCTTATACATCTTGCTTTCTAAACTACACTCTATACTTCCAGATGGTGGAAGCCCTTGAATCACACCTCTGTGTTTTGAAACATTGCAAACAAACTACCAAAATAAAAAGGGAAATTATTCTCATCTCTTAGAAAATCAACAGTGCTACCAAGTAGAAAAAACATATTTACAGGAAAATTACTGTGGAAACTAACAATATGACATTTCTAGTTCCATAATATCTATGAAAAAGGCAAATACATGCAAGCAGCAAAAACATATCACTCAAAACTAGAATACAGAATTCATATTTGTACCTGGTATGCTCTAACTTGTTTTAATAGGGCTTCAGCACACATTGTGAGGTCCCCTTTAATTTTGTGCCACCTTGCATATAAACCCCACAAATCTTCTCCCGAACCACTACGAACAACCTATGACAAAAACAGAATAAATTAGAAGCAAAAATAGATCAACAGGTATTAACAAGTCTGTTGTAACGAGTGACTGTATATGTGGGCCTTTGTTTACAAAACAGCAAACAAAGTCGACAAAAAAAAAATGATAGAGAGAATCACCAATGCTTCAAACCAAATAAGGAGAGTACGTGTATGAGAATAGCGATTAAAAAAGGGAGAAAGGATGTCAAAAATAGCCTTCTTATGCATCAATTATAATGACCCCCAAACTCCTTACTGAGGTAAACCAAAGCCACAAAATAACTCATCCCTCTAAACCCCTCTTCTGGTTTGAGAGACAGTTAGATCATTAGCAAATCACTGACATGGGGTTCCCTAGGTGAATAGGCAAGGCGCATTTGAAGGTATATGTGACTAGCTTGAGCCCAGTCTTAGTGCCTTTATGCCCGGTGAACCTCAGCCCACTTGTGGTCTCGTGCACCTTAGTTCACAGACACCCAACTAACTTGAGCCTAGGATAGGGCTCCACCTCAGACAAACAACTAAGCTCCTTGAGGCAAGCTCAAAGAAGTCCTAAGGATTTTGACTAAGCAAAAGAAGGGGTTCTGTCGAAGTGTTGAGTGAGTGAAGCGAGCTGAAGTAATGCAATTGAGAGAGAAACAAATTGAAAGTTTCACATGCCTGAATTGTTAAGTGCATGAATATGTTTTAATTATGTTCGATTTGATTTCTACATTTTCACTTTGAATATATTCGATCTATTGTTTTTAGGGAAATTGTCTAAAACTCACCATGACTTTTCAGCATTTCTCTTAAGCTCAGCATAACTTTTCAAAACATCCAAGGAACCCCATGTCAGTAAGTTGACATTAAATAGACTAGCGGATGTTGGTAGATTACTATTTTACCCTTTGTTCAGTTGTAAATGGAAAATAAAGCAAAACTTTGATAAAAAACAACAAAAATATATCTCAAATATTTCAATCTAAAAACTTTTCGGCCCATTTTACATATTTAAGTAAAAAAGGAGCTTCAAATTAAAAAAAAAAAAAAACGCTTTTGATTCAAATCAAACTCATCTGACGCTCCATATCTATTTGCACAGTTCAACTGTCACTTTATCCCTTTTAACAGTCTCTCAAACCAGAACAAAGGTGTATTGAATAAAAATTAGGCTCACATAAAAAGGTGTATTGAATAAAAATTAGGCTCACATAAAAATATGTTTAATAAGGCTGACATGCCATACAGGGAAAGTTTGGTCATAAAAACTGCATTTATGCTTACGTGGACAACTTCTGCCAATGAACACTAACAGTACTCTAACGGATGGTGAGTTTTGGAAAACAAAAAATCACTGACATGGGGTTCCCTAGATGTTTTGAAAAGTCATGGTGAGTTTAAGAGAAATGCTGAAAAGTCATGGTGAGTTTTAAACAATTTCCCTTGTTTTTATGTATTTTAGCTAAAGCCAATAGGCTTTTAAAACAATTAGCTCCTTTCAAAATTCTTGTTTCCATATATTTGATTTTTCTCTTTGGATCTTCGAAAAATTCTGCACCTAGGGCACAGAAATCCCCTTGCACCTTATGCTATTAAAACACCAACCTAGTAGGGATCTAGCCTTACTGAGAGAATGGCAGTAGACCCAAGGATTTTCTTCACCATCTGTCACCACTATTTGTGAATTCCCCCTCTTACCTCCAATATAGAGTACTCAAGAGCAAATGTGAGGTGGAGCCCACTCGGAAGAGATACCAGCTAAACCCTAGAAGTCACCCATCTCACTGGGATACTGTATATTTCAACTTCAAGCCATTTACACATAAATATCTTATGTTTACATGGGCACCAAATACACCTATTTGGCATCTAAAATCCTCTTGATTTGAAGTGGTAACATTAGAGAGAGCAGAGGGGACTGTAGGAGAAGAAGCTTAAGAGAGAGGAAAGGAGAAGGAAATAGCAAGAAAAAGTGAAAGGAGAGGAAGATCTTCAACTATTCTGTTGGAATTATCATTTCCGCTAACAAGATCTTCAACTATAGCAACTCTCAAACCCCATGAGCCATTGCCCTGTATTCTGCCTCTACACTAGAGCAAGCAACAACAGATTGCTTATTATTTCATGCTTATGGTGCTATTGTCCTATTGGCATTGATATCTATGTTATTCATGTCCAGTTAATTAATTTTTTTGTTCTATACCAGTCCAAGTAAATCATAGAAAGGTCCAAAGTCTCCAAACCGTATTAGAAACAGCACCAAACCGTAATAAAACAGTTTGGTTTGGTTTGGTTCATATGTGCACACTTTGCAAGGGAAAGGGTGAAACAATTTCCTATTAACTACTCTCCTAACCTTCTGCGAATTGTATTTGGATATGCATTTCTTTTCTCTTTGGATGCAGGTAGGACTCACACAGTCACCCTTAGACATTGCACTTAGCCCTAGTTTTTTTTAACAACCAAAGAAGAGAGGTAGAATTTAATGGAGGGCAGCAAGGACAGTGATTATTTGGACATTTTAGGAATAAAGGGATGGCAGAATTTTTAAGGAAAGGTGCAGATCCAAGGAAGAAATTGCAGTGGATATAAAGATCAGGGTTATACACTAGGTAAGAAACATTAAGGGATTGTGTTAGATGATGTCCCAAGAGCTTGAAAAGAAGTAGCTACATCATCTACCATGAAGGGTAGAAGTGTCACAGAATGGAATGCTCCCTCAATGAATAGAGTGAAGTTAAATTGGAGGTATTTTCAGGGATACAAATGTAAGGTGGTGGCATTAGTCTCTTGTTCTCTTGGAGTAGGGGATTCCTTAAGGGCTGAAGTGATGGCATTGCTCCAAGGAATGAGCATAGCAAAGCAACAAGGCTTCCAAATTGAGGGGGTGGAAAGGGATTCAAAATTTATAATATCTTTGGCAAATGATAGAAATCCAAGCATGTGGATTCAAAGGTACAATATAAGAGAGATCAAGAACAAAACAAAGGAGCTGCAGGCAACTTTTAGATGGGTGAAGAGAACAGCAAATGAGATGGATGAGTGCTTAGAAACAAGGGATGTACAGGGAACAACTTTTTTGGGGCAGATTTGTAATTGGGGACTTTCATTTGTTAAAGGGACAGAACTCCTTTAGAAAAGCAATACTATGTAAAGTGTTTAATTAATTAATTTAATTAAATGAGATTTTACTGATCAAAAAAATATCTTATGTTTACATGGAAAGAGAGGCCACAAGACATGCCAGAAACATGAGTTGCAGCTATGTTAACAAAAGAAAGCCACAAGAGAAGTAGATGCCACAAATGCCTTATACCTGCTGCAGAACCTTTCCAAGTAACCCTAGCAAATGCTCAGTTTCACGTGATCTTTCCATTCCAGATTCTGAATATTCTAACTCAGGCACAGAGTGACCAATAGAGTTGTTGGGAAGAGCTTGAACTTGACAATTACACTCATCAGTAGTAGAAGCAGAAGAAAGAAAATGCCCTGAAGTTCTTTCTTCCATCTCCACTATTATCCTCTCCAATAATTTGGCATCTATCCTTTTATTTCCAGTCATATCCAGTACCATCTTTGTAGCTTCCAGTGCCTACATAAAAAAAAAAACAAAAGATTCGTGTTAGTCCTGGAACTTAAGCATTCACACATTAATAATATAGATTGTTAGTGGTGTTAGTGAAGGGGTATTTCAGTCTTTGTACTTGTTGAGAATGCTGATGTGTACTGTTATGTTAGTTCGAGTGCCTCTTACTTAAAGAAGGGCACTCAAGTCTTTTTCAATAAGTCAATAATATAATAATAGGTCTGGCCGAATCAAGGTATTAACTTTTTTCCCTAATTCGAACCAGCCTTTCTCTCTTTT